TGCACATGCACATACACAGAAACAGACACACTTGCACATACACACACAAACACACACAAACACACACACGTACACACATGCACTTACATACACACATACACACATGCATATACATACACATAAATATGTATACTCACATACATCACACACACACACACACACATACGTGCACATACTCGCTATTGTTCATTGACCGTTGAAGTGATGTGAGAAGGTCGCAGATCGGCTTGTACATACCTACACGCACACAGATAATTAGCGCACATGCATACACACTGATGTCAAGAAATATGTACATTACGGTACATGATCTTAGCTCGAAATATACATTCTTTATATCCACCTTTCCACATACGCTCATACCTGCACGCACACATCGTTACATACAGCATTGTAATTCGACTAACAAGGTATTCGAGAGGGTCACAGACCAGTTTATTTATGCACACGCAAAAATACATAGTACGCACACATAGGGTTTAGGGGTTTAGGGTTATAGGGTGTTAAGCAGTAGTTGATCCACACATCCTTGTGTGTGAGTGAGTCGCACTTGTTGGCCAGCCTTGCAGCGTGACATTTGTGCAGTGCATATACATACGTCTCCCAACAGCACGACAGCAGTCGGGGGCGTTCAGGTAAGTGCGAATGGAAACAGTATGCGCCGGTGGCAACCTATTCGGTGACCGAATGATCCACTGTTTCCCATTCGGTGGCCTATTTATCATCGCAACTAAACACCTAAAACCTTGAAGGCTGTCATAAACAGGCCGGTTGAACGCAGACGCTTGTGCTGTGTTGCAGCTGACACGCGTTGTACTTGCCATTTGACACACTCTCACGCGTCACCCCAATCATCTGCGGAGCGTCACTTCCTCGATACAGCCGAAAGGTCACTACCAATCATTGGAGGGGCTCTGTAGGCCCATATATAACAACCGTCTACGTTCTTAGCACCAGCGTACAGTCAACAGCCACTACGCAGGCCATAGCAACCATTACCGACGCCATAGCAACCACTTCACAGGCCATAGCAACCGTTGTATACGCCATAGCAACCACTACAGATGCCACGGCGCCGCGCATCTATGTGCAGTCGAGAATGGGCCACTGAGCAGCCACCAACTGTAGCCACTGCTCGACGATGTCGGGACGTTTTCTGCGCATAATGTCTTTAATGCGCTCGAAGTCATGCACCACCGCAACATTCTGCGTCACAGCCACACACGAGTCCAAATTAAGGACCACGTGGTGCCAACCCGCTGGCACTGTACCACAGAACAGAGTGAGAGAGAGTGAAGAGGGAAGAGTGAGAGAGTGAAGAGTGAGTGAGAGAGAGTGAGTGAGAGAGAGTGAGAGAGTGAGAGAGTGAAGAGTGTGTGAGAGTGTGAGAGTGTGTAAAGAGTGTGTGTTAGCGAGAGTCCACCCACCCACAATCCCTTTTTCTATAGTACTTGGCCAGTGTATACCCAGCAAAAAATGCACTACATAGTCATACTCACCCTGCCGTAACCATGCATGCTAAACATATACCGAGCGGTGCACGCATCTGACAACCACACAACACACCGTAGACAGTCTCTCCCGCGTCTTGGAGTATCTCCACAGGCGCACTTCCCCTCCAGTCGTCTCCGCGTATCCTGGGCAGCATGTGCTCAAACCACGCAGACGGCCCTTTCAAACGGGCGGGCCACAGCTCACCTATCTCACACGGCGCCAGATGCACCTTACGACACTCTGGCGGAAACAACATCCACCTCTTGCGACCATACAGCGACGTGTTCCATGCAGACGTTAAGAGAGGGTCCTGCAGGTACAGGGATGAGGTGGACAACCAGACTACACTTAGAAAGGGTGGTGTCGTAGGTAGACCGTTGTGAAGGAGTAAAAATAAGGCAAAGGGTATCGAATGGTACAATTGGCTGAAGAGCGTATGCGTTGCGCAAGATTGTATCATCTTTTTAATCGGCATTGAGCTATACGTAGTATATGTGATAATTAAGCAATACGTAATACATGTGTTAATTAAGCATACGTAATATATTAATTAATTAAGCGATACGTAATTTATGCGCTAATTAAGCAATACGTAATACATGTGCTAATTAAGCAAACGTGATCTATGAATAAATTAAGCAATACGTAATATATGAATTAAGTAAGCAATACGTAATACATGTGCAAATTAAGCATACGTGATAAATAAATTAATTAAGCAAAACGAAATATATGTGCGAATTAAGCAATACGTAATACATGTGCTGAATCAGCAGCAGCATAACTGACTCACTCACCCACCCACCTGGTGTATACTAGACCCAGACCTTCGCGTGCCCATCAGCACCCACCGATGCGGCGGTCGCTCCTCGGCCGAGAGGACCGAAAACAAGTCCTGGCCAGACGCAAAATACTTTGGGATGGTGTATGCACCCAGGACACCCGGAGTGGACGATTCGTCTGTGTGCTCAAACAGGTAGATGGGGTTATCATCTGCCCCGGCCAGCTGGTTGCAGTAGTAAAAGTAATCATCCAGGCGTAAAGTCACTGGCTGGTCCTGTTCATCGCTACCCACGCGGAAATGAACACTGCCAAACACGTGCGAAAGCGTTTGTTCACTCCACTCTCGTGCGCGCCACTGCCTGGTGGAGTGTCAGTGCGATTCAAAGACGTACGTTTAGAGAGGGTTAGGGGGCTTTGTACACTTAAATGTGTGCGAGTGAGCAACAACATATATATA